TCATTAGTTGCAGTACAACGCTCTGCTTCTCTCCATGGGAAACTCCGCCCACCGAAAAACTAAACATTTTGATTTCCACCCAACCGAACGAACTCAACTTGCAACAATGATACATACAATCTATCCTCTTGTGAAACAGAGTCTCGTTTAACATAATGTTAGTATAATGTGTTAATTGTAGATAGTTTTGTCCGAATGTGAGAAATGTGAGCGGTAATTATACAACACGATAGACAACTTAAAACAACAACTTTATCAAAAATTGTGGATGTGTCTTAATGGTCCCTATTTTTAAAGACCTCAGTACTTGTAGCTTCATTAAACTACCAACTGATTACCAAATAATTATGGACGAGTTAAATTCGAAGATGTATTTAGTATTAACGAAACAGACCAATGAATAAAGTGGCATCCAGGGAGCAAAAAAATGTTCGAAATGCGTTACAGCGACATCAAACGAGATAATGACTTCGGCACTTATAAATCGATTGATTAAACAGAATAGTAAAAGATAACAATTGTTTGAATGATGAATGATGGATTGAACCACCAATAATACCACAATTATTACTGACTATGAGTAGTGTTTAAAGAATAAGGATTTCAGATTCATCATGGAGAGGGCAAACCATTGCTGTACCTTTATTAAATTTTCAGAAAGTCATTTCTTTCAAAATTTTATATAAAATCAACAATCGTGCATGGACTTTGATAAACTTTTGATAAAAGCATATATCATAAATGACTACTAGTCACACGACAACGGGATTGCGATGGATCACACTAAAAAATACCGATACGAGAATGAATAATATATATAGTATATATAACATAGCATGTTTCAAATTTTCTATTTAAATTATTATTAGATTTATTAAGATTTTCATAAACTATTATTATTAGCATGCGTTTATTAAATTTATTTAGTATCTAATATTATCTATTAATAAAAATATTTAAAATTTTATAATAATGATAAATCGTTTGATCGGAAAAATAGATATGGTACACCAATTTCAATAAGATATATATATACATTTAATATTAAAGAATATAATTACTTCATTTACGTTGAAATCATAACTAATTTTATAATTTTAAATACTCGTATATAGACTTATCTAATATAAAATAAATATTCTTGCACTATTATTCGACACGAGAATTAATTTTTTTTAATGTATATATAATATATTTTTAAAATAATTATTTTCATTAAATTTTTATTTAAATATCGTATGTGAAATATATATTTATAATTCTCAATAAATATTTAATATTGAACATTTAATTATTTTTTAAAGGGGTCAACAGTTTGTAAAAAACATAAATAAATTAACGTATTTCGGCGTAATTTGCTTTAATTTTAAAAAATAATATTTTTATTACAAAATTAAATAATAAATGATACACTTTTATTTTGTAATTAAATTATTTGATGGTACAATAGACTATAAAATTAATATATTTTTATATTAATTATCAAACTAATTAATAACAATTTAAAATTGTAATTGCGTTATAATAATAATTTATAATAAATTAATAAATATTAGGAAACGAAAGTCATTTAATTTATTAGTTGAATATATTAGACAAAATTATTCAATAATAAATGAAGTCATGAGATGATAATTTAATAAATTTTTTCAGATAAAAATAAGATTCTAGTATGCATTCATATTTCATATATAAGATTGAATTATTTAAATAGTAATAATAAAATAATATAAATATATAGTATCAATATAAGAATATAAACAATAAAAATCTTTTAATTTCGATATTAATTGTAAATATTATACATAAATACATTTTTATATATATGAGTCTAATATTTTTGTTAAGAGCGTTGATTCGGATAAATAATTTAGCTAAAATTAAATATTAATTTAGCTTAAAATTCTAAAATTCAAAAAGTATCTTATGAAAGAAGTATATAATAACAAAGTCTAAAATATATTAAGTAAATGAAAAATTTAAATATTAATATTAATTTAATAACAATAATAATTATTATAAATATTATATGTTACTGCAATGTGGTAAGTTTTTTTTATAAACTGTTAATTAGTAAAAAAGAAATAATTTCCCTCTTCCATTAAAAAACTTCTAATTTAATATTAAAAAAAATTATATGAAATACGTAATAATTTTTTATATAAAAATTTAATATTTGTTTTAATATAAAAATATAACTGAAGTAAACTATGTTCTATATAATTATCAATGTTGAAGAGTGTAAAATAGTAATATATTTTAATATATTTTTTTTATTTATTTATTTTCATATATAATTGAATATAACTTAAATTAAATTTTATATTTATTGTATATAAAAAAAATTGAACAAAAATAGAAAATAGCTTTATATTCAAATAAAATGAAATTAAGGATATGTTGAAATAAACAGGAATACAACAAAAAAAAATATTTTAATATATAATTTTACTAAATTTTAAGTTACATTTTTTAAAACAAAAAAATGTTTAAAATACAAATAAAAACTTTTTCTTCATCAAGTTTTTTGCAGTTCACTTCACTGAAAAATAAATATAATTTTACCATATAATTTTAACATAATTTTTAGTTATTTTAAAAATATTTAATTTTTTTCTTTTTTCACATATAATCGATAAGTTATTTTAGTTTATAAATTGAATGAACAGATTTAACGATAACATATAGGATATATAGGTATATTTCTAAGTTTAATTTTGCGGGGCGAATACGAAATTAAAAAATTAATGAAATCTTAAATTTATATTAAATATGCTATGAATAAAAAGTTAAAAAATATTTACTTATTTTTTTCTTGGACCAAAAATAATCAGAAATCGTAAGTTGGTAGATGGCAGATAATAATAATTGCCTTTTATAGAATTGCTTTCACTATTTGACTTTTATAGAATTTATTTTCCTCAGTGGATCTTAAACTTGAACGTCCGTAGCAATGATTAAAGTTGCCAACCCTTAGACTACTGGGGCTGCCGATAAGACCCATGCAGATCATATCAAATAGGTATATTGTTAAGTGATAATTACTAATATGACAACAAGAATTCTAAGTTTTTCATAAGTAGATAAATTATAGTAGTAATATGTAGTAACAATACTTTATAAACAATAAACTCATAAGTTCTAAGTGAACCGATCGATTGCTATAGACTAACTGCCACATAAAAATGATATTATTTTACTATAATTTTGTATTATATTATTATAATATAATTTATATTATATTCACACACACACAAACATTTTAAATAATTTTTGTTTAAATACGTAATTGTTTATTAAATCTAATATTTTGTGGTATTACAAAGGCTTCTGCCGTCTATCAGAGACTTGAATTTAATTATATTAATATATGTATTAAATTTAATAAAATAATTGCATTTATATTATCACACACATACTATAAAGGAATTTAAGTAAATAATTTAATAATTAAAACTTATCAAATATAATTTTTATTTAAAAATAATTAACATATTGTTCAGAATCCTGTGTATTATAAAATATAAATTATATAGAGCGGATATTTAAATAATTATAAGAAATAAATAATATATCTTTTATTTTTAATTTTATATATTTAATTGTTAATTTTTGAAAACATTTATATATACATAAAAAAATTTATAATATACGATATATGTACATATCTACACATATTTAAACACATATTTTCAAAAAACCTATTTATATAGGTTTTATTGTGAAAATTATTAAAAAACTGGAGATTATGTGATATTTAAAATTATAACTTGGTCTCATGGATATAATTAGGACTTTCGATGAGTGGCAAATATAGATTTTATTGATTTTTTTACAGATTAAAATTGTTAATAAATATTAGTTTTTAATTAGCTTATCCAGAACAACTTTACTTTGTGAAGACACATGGTTTTGTGAATGGACTACAACAGTAGTTGTATATTTAATTAATTATATATATAAATATATGCTTATGATATAGTAATGGATACCCATAACTTGATATACAATGTAGTTTAATATAATTTAATTTAATCTGGCCGTTGAGATAAAATATGTTTTTTCCCTTGAGCTAACTATATAAGTTAAAAATATATGTTAAAATAAATTTATAAGTATAATTATAAGTTAAAAAATTTTGTTTAACTTTTTTTTATTTTAATTTAGGAATTCTTTAAAAATAATGAATTTAAAATATACATAAATATTTAATAATAATTTATATCAACTTATATATGTGAAGGAATTGTAAAAAAAAATATTATGTTTTATTAATAATAAAAATGATTTTTATGATATTTAAATAATAAATATTTATTAATAATGTTAATAATTTATATGAGCTTATATATGTGAAAGAATTGCAAACAAAAATACTATAATTTATTAATAATGAAAATGATTTTTATGATAATTAAATAATATATTTCAATAATAAATGTTTAATAATAATGTAAATAATTTGTATAATTTTTAAAATAAAAAAAGTGGTAAAAAAATTTGATTTTTTCAAATTGAGAAGATAATAATCATTTCTTTGAACATGAAATAAATTTAGTATTAATTATTATTTATTCTTACTATTATAACTAATCAAAATGGACAAATTGAGGGAAAACGACAGTACGGTTCAGTAAAATTTACGACATTAGGTTTGCCGATCGCTCAGCGCGGGCCGCTTTTGAATGAACATTTCAGCGCCTAAATGCGTTAAAATATCGCACTAAGCAAAATTGTCTATTTACTGATAAAATTAATAATATAATTTCAAGTTTCCACAGAAACTTGATATAAATTATTATGTAAAAAATTATGAAAAAAATTAAACTTACTTAATAATCCATAATTTAATATTTCAATGAAAAATATAACAAAAAATAAATAAATTCGATTTGACCGAACTTTTAAAATTTTTAAATTATTTTAATTATTTAATTGTAGTTTATAAACAATTTAAATTTGTTTAATTGTTATAAAAAAAAATAAATATTCATAATTACCGTTTTAGTTTGAATAAATTACAAAGGTTAGAACTTGCACTGCTGTTGCACTTTTCGGTTTAATTGCATAAAAAATTTGTGACCGCAAATATTTAAGAAAAATGCACTTTAACCACTGTTTGTTAATTAATTGAATTATAATTAGAATTTCATTAAAATTTGCACTTGTGTTTTTTCTGAGTGTTTCACGGAGTGTTTTGTGTCACTCTTAGTGTTTCGCAGATAACAGCGTTGCACTTATTTATTGAGTGTTAAGCAATTTATGATCTTGCAGATTTGATAATTATTTAGTTAATAAATTTAATTCAGTACTTCTTCTCGCACCTGCACTTCTGCATTTCTGAAGTTCTGCTCTTTGCACTTTTTCCAATCAGAAACAAAACAAAAACAATAATTCGAACGGCAACTTGGGTATTAAATTTTCATTTGTTTATAAGTGATTTCTATGCCACTTGCACAATTAATTTTAATTAATTAATTGCGATGCTACTAATATGAGATATTTTCCATACAAGTTTTCTTAATTAATAATATTTTAAAAAAATCTAAAAGAACAACACAAATTTATTCAGTATTTACTACTGTATTTTCAATTTAAAAATAAATCAAACAAAATAATTCTGAAGCTTAACACGCCGGCTATGATACGCAATGAGCAACGCATGCAATTCACCCGTACAGGCAAAGCGTCGTCAACAGACTAACTTAAATGCAGAATAAGGCAAAACAGCATTGGGACCCCCAAAAATAAAAACACAAAACTTATTAAGAAGCGAACAAAACAAAAACAAAAACAAAACCAAAAGAACCAGCAACAACAACAACAACACAGCACAACCAACTGCTATGAAACGAATAAGCAACACGAGCAAATAAACGAGCACGAATAAACTTATTAACGATTGCATGAGGGGAGTCGATTCAATTTGTTGTTTTCATGATAATATGTAAAAGAGAGACATACTTGCAAAAGGAGTATGTTTTCATGACGTCACACCTTGGAGAGCGTTTACACATAGCATAAGCACACAGCTACTATCAACATGCTGCCGACTGCTGTTAAGCGTCGCTGCCTAGCAGCTTCAAAATATCCAAGTAAATTTGAAAAACAACGGCAAATCCGTGAAATAAGGTAGAGCGCTATGATGTAGGAGAAATATAAGCTTAACGAAACATTTGCTTGCTGTTTGTGAGAGAGTGACTGCAGTAATTATGCATATAATGAGGGCGTTAGAGCGCATGTGACATTCGAAATTATATTTTGTTGCATGAAGGTATGTTTGAGTGTGTTTGTATATTTGTATGTAATATATTATGAGCGCCACTTCCGTTTGGCGGGCGTTTAAAATTTTTTCTATCTTCTTATTCATTTTTATTATTGTTTTTACTTTGTTTTGTTTTGTCTTGTTTTGCTTTTGATTTTGAGTTTTTTCAATGTTCCGAGTTGGCGTAATGTTATTGTTGTGTTAGCAGCGTTGGCACCGTTGTTGGTGTTGTTGCTGCTGGTTGCCCTGTGTAAATGGTGGTAGCGGTTGCTTGACTTTTGACTTCTTACTTGCGATATTTTGTTGCTATAATTATTTTGCGTTTGCTTTGCTTTGCTTGCCATGCATTGTTATTGTTCTGCTTGGTTTTAATTTAACTAAGCGTTTTTGTTGTTGTATTTTCTCTTAGTAAAAATATTTTGCCAAAAGTGTAAATGTGGTTAAAGGTGAAGGGGTTGTAAACCGTTCGAATAGCGTCTTTACACCTAAAAAAGGAAAAGTATAGTAAATCGAATATATTCCCGTATCCTGAATTATCTAACTTCGAATATAGACCGTTCTATATGGAAGTGATTTTGAATAAGGCAGACCCATACTGATCTCATCTCAAATGTACAAGTTATGGATTGTAAAACCCTTTAGCCAAGTGTGAAGGCAGTTCAATCTGTTGTTTTTAGGAGTTCATCGAGAAATAATATGGACTTAGGTCATTATATGTTTATATATAAAACCATCCATCTTATTGAAAAATCTGAACACCCTTCAGTTTAGTTTTTTAAGTCAGGTGAGTGAGTTAGTTAGTTTGCAGATACCTTTCTGCTGACCTCAATTAACGATTTTTCAACTTTTTACTACCACACTCTTCGCAAGAAAATCTAAAGACTAAAAACTAAGTTCGTCCCGT